CATACACAGATATTAGCTGGGCAAGCCTATTGAAATCTAGTATTTAGGTTTAGGTAACAGTATTAGGTAAGCAACCATTTAATGAAGGTAGAAAGCTATGATAATAATTCCTTTGAAATTAGTACAGTACTTGATAACGGTTATAAAGCATTGTATCAGTACTTTAAGTTATTTATTTTGAAATTGTACTAAAACTTCAAATTGTGTACCACAATGCACAATCATGGACTCTATTCCTCATGTGTAATGGTTATTTCAGCTTTTATGTTCATACATTATCATATAAATGTCAGGCAACATTAGACAGCCTGATGCAACAACTTCTAAAGGTACTGTAAAAGTTGACAGTGCTGAATCTGCTGTTTATACTGTAACTTGTCCTCTTCAAACTTTCCACTTCTCTGTCCTGTAGCCTATGAATATCCCTCTAACTCCTCTTGGTTGTACATGCACTTGTTTGGTTCCCTGAATGTTTTTTTTTTTTTTTGCAATTTGTGTTATGGATGTGTAGTGTGATCTAGCAGTTATTAGCGGAAACGAATGTCTGATTACCCAACACAGCCACAAATGTAGGTAGAATTTGTTGAAACTCTCAGTGAATATCTGACACAACTTAGTAGTTCTATAAGTTAATCAATTGATTTACTGTGCATAGTATGTTTTCATTCTAAATCAATTGATGTGGTTTCAGAAATGAAGTGAAGTTACATTGTAATGCTAAACCTGTATTCAGCTAAGATAGAAAAAAAAAAAGATGATAAGACCTGACTCCAAAGATGTTCGAAGAAACGTGACCTGACCTCACCTTGTTGGTCCCCAGGTCAACGAGAGTTTGTCAGGGATGAGCAATGGCCACTGCGTTGCCAACCTGGCCGATGACAGCGAGACTAAGCCGTTGCTGGTGGTCAAGAAGGGGGAGGAGTCGGGGAGCATTACGGCAATTATCAACCGTCAGTTACAGGGTAGGGACACTAATGTTTTCCGCGTCAGGGGCGTTCAAAGACTGTTGAGTGCTGTTACCATTAATGGATCCATCAACTGTCTTGCCTCAATCAGCGTGGCATGTCGGTGAACATAACACATGCACATACAGTATATTGTAGGTATATTGAAAGTAGGTTCCCTTTAGTCATGCATTTTGTTTCTCCCCCTTTAGTTATAACTTTGTTTCAGATATATTTATAAATAGATACTTTTTTGTATTGAAGAACTCATCATAGTTCCTGTGAAGTACTTCCTCATTTTTTTCTTTTTTCTTTTTTCTTTTTTTTTCCTTTAAAAAAAAAAATGGAAGATTCCTCAATTAGGAAGATCAATTCTTATGTTATTTTTCTTAATCTCAGATTGGTAACAATCATTAAAGCTAGCAAGAAATATTTTGTACTAATGGTACTGTCCTTCCTTCTGAATATACAGTGCTAAGGATAATATCACAAAAAAACTATTTTATCATTTAAGACTTCAAAAGAATATGATAAACAATATAGTTTATATTCTGTTAACATAACATAGTACACTTGGTAGCTTAGTGTTCATATTTATTGTTATCCCTGTATTTTTATTTACTTCATATACGTTTTTAAACTTTAGAATATCTATGTTTGCATTAATTTCCAAAAAAAGTAAAGCTTGATCTTGTACTTTTTTAACTGCATAAACATTTTCTTTTTAACTCCCACAATGAAATGGAATTCAGTTAGCATTCTTCCAGCACCCTGCTTGAATTGTAGAGCAGATGATTAACTTAGAGTTCACAAAAGCATTCCATTGGGGTTCCCATGCACTGAATCAGTTGCTTAAGAGTCACTTATTACATATTTGTTGCTTTGCTTCATTAGTGCACACTTTTAAATTGTTTTTGTGGTTTTGCTGTTTGTTCTTTATTCTTGATTTTTTATCAATTGGACTTTGGTCATGTCCGATTTTGATTTTTCATGAGTTACTCTACTGTTTCTACTAACTTTTTTCTACCTCTTTCAGTCATACATCAGTTTTAATAAACTATCTCTGCTCCTTGCACTTGCAGTGAATTAAAGGAACACTAAATCCACCTCTACTTCACACTTTTAACTTCAAGTGTTCTCCCTCCAATGCTTAACTCAGACTATCTTGGTATCACAACCCAAGCTGAACTTCCTCTGTATATATTACACTTCAAAGAAAGATCCTTTATTTATCCACCAAACCATAGCATTATTCATGAGGATAGTTTACATGTTGTGAATACTCTTACATGTGACTGTTGTGCTCAGAGGAATGATATGGTTGATATGACATGAGGTTCAATTTGATTTTTTAATGATAAAGATTATTATTGTACATTACTTGTAATCTAAAAGTGTGTAAAAAGATTCATTCCCTAATAATGTTCTCAAAGAATGAAAATTATGAGACTATCCTTTTGTAGAATGATTTTGTTGAAAAAAGAGGGTATCAAAGCACAGATATTTCAACATTACATGACTATTAGATATTTAGTCTGGCATCTTCAATGTGTTAA